TAGATTGATAGAGATAGTTTTAGTCAGCTCATCTTGGTCGGGGTACGAACTAGCGTTTTATTGGTGGATATGATCATTAATTTATTTTAAAGTGAAAGAACGCAATAGAACTATTTTTTGTTATTTCAAGAACGTGAGAATTTTTGTTTTGTATATACAAACAGTATCCATGTTCTGTATTTAATGTATGTCAAAGACACATGTCTGATCGAAGATATGTATGTTCTTATGTTAAATAAGACATACAAAAATAACAGTGTCCGTTACGTAAGAGACATTTATTTTCTTATTATACTCTGATTTTATACTTATCAGATGAAAGAGTAACTCCAGTGCTACAAATATTGTTATGTACGATATCCTCCATAGTTGTTTTTTCAATTAAGTCTTTATTGGTTTTCCAGGCAACCAACAACCTCTAAAACCCGAAAAAGCCTTCCGGATTTTCTAAAAATCCTCAATTTGACAAAAAACTAAGACCTAATTCAAAAATCGGCGCCGGTCAGTCCATGTAGTTTCTTTTCCTCCTTTAAATAAAAAAAGAATAAACTAGAGAAAACGCTGTATGACATACTCAACTTTAGGACTTCTGGAAAAATGCCTGTAACGTTTTAATGCAAGGTCATACAGACTTGTGCGAGGTCTTATTTTTATCAGAGAAGTCGGCTCTACAAATCTGTATCTTCAGAAAAATTTTATTTGTATAAGTATTCAGGAAAAACTAAAAGTATTATTCGAAGACCCGGTTTTTTGAGGCTCTTAGAAAACTTGCCCAAAATCCCCCCAAAATCACTTTTATAACCAAAAGCGATACACATTCTGGAAGTAGACACTTCAGACTATCTTTTCATGTGAGTATCTCAAAACCAATTTTTTGACCGAAAATCACCATTTCTAAGGGGGAAGGGGGGCATTTAAATCGAACGAACATCTTCATTGAGAAAAATATCACTACTTTATTCGAAAAAAAAAAGCACACTCCGCCACTCCGGACCATTGTACGGAGTGCCGAAGTGCCGTAAAGTGTGCTTCACTCCCCGGAGTGGCGGAGTGCGCTTTTTCCCCCTTGGTTTTTTCACCTAGTACAGAACGAATAAGAATTCAAGAGTTTTCATTAAAATAAGGTTTAGAACAGTTACTAAACCCTCCCCGAAACGTATTTTGCACTGCATTTTAAAAATAAATGTCACTTAGGATCAAGTTTAGTCACATTAATGTGTCTTCTTCCTTTTGAAAGAAGACACATTAATGTGACTAAACTTGCTCCTAACTGGTATTTTTATTTAGAGTATGTATAGTTTCATTTTCACAAACTTTCTTAGCACAGAGTTTAGTAACTGCAGTTCCTACTTAGTTTAGAAATAAGAGAAATGGTTATGTATGATGGGTACTGGTGTAAATTTTTCTGCTCAAACTTTAGTTTCCCTTTATTGATTTAGGTGAAAAACATTGTCATTTTACCAGTTTCTAGAAGATAGTTAAAATAGTCGCATGAAACATATCTTAACTACATACTTTGGGCAACAGAAATGAGAAATAGAAATAAAAGATTTCACTTGAAATAATTCCGTCCTAAAACACAAACTCAGGAAAAACTAAAGTATAAACACATTGTACTTTAGTGTCAACTGTGAAAAAATATAAAATAATGTCGTTTTCGTTTTCTTTTTTGCATAAAAAATTGAAACATTCTTTTTTCTCTTTCTTTCACCATTTGTTTTTATTTTGTTTAGTACAAAATTTTATACTAAGAAGGAATGAAAGACTATTCAATATCTTGATGAACCACCCCTGTTATATATCATTTCATTTATTCTGCTGTTTATAAAAGTACGTAAATACAGTTACAAAATGTAAAGTTCAAAACGGCGTGACCGCTATCGTTTAGAATTAGAATGTTACAATTTTTTTTATAAGTTCGGGTCTACACAAAAGAAGAGATAGAAAACAGTAACATGTCCAGTGGAACTTTATAGAAATCTCTTTGAGAATGTTTAGAATTCCGAATTGTATAATTTGAATGTGGTCTGGTCGATCCTGTCCATTTCTGTGTTCAATATATGGCTTATTGATAGTTTGATTTTGAATAAAACCTTTTATTATACAAAAATGCTACGTTTCTATCTTGCATATGTATTCAAGTTGCCATTTTGTTTTATTATCTGAACAGTTTAATTTATCTAAACTATCTGCGCAACTCATACCAATCTCCCATATCAAATTACAATGTCAATGAAATAAAAGTTTAACGTTTTTTCTTTTATTATCACTTCGTAATAATAACATATGCATAATTATTTTCTGAGTCACATTGAAAGAACTGCGAGTGAACAATCGGAGATAATTCATACAAATCACCAAGACAATTTTTTCATGCCCATCTTATAATTGTTGGACACTAACATCTGAATTGGATTCAATGATGAACGTTGAAAACGATGCTTTTTATTTATTAAATAGAGACTATTCACTTTGTCATCTTTTAATAGGCAATCGTAATATCCATTATTAGTATGATGTAATGAAATGCTTTCATTCGATTGCTTAGATTTATAGAATAAGTTTAGAGATGTCACAGAAGACGGTGTATTATTATAAAATAAATAGTGTAGATGAATGTTCTTTCTTTTTTGTCTTATTTTGCAGAAAGAGAAAAAAATTGCTGTACGTATAGAATTCAACAAATTTTCATTTTATGTTATCAGTTGCACAATCTAACACAACATAAAGCACAGAGCGATACTCTATATGAGATATAAGGTGCAGCTAATTCAAAAATCAAGTGAAATTCTTTTTTGAATTTATTATGTACCATTCGATAGAGCTTTTTAAGCAGATCAAGAATATGCAGCTTTTAATTTTTTGAGACTTTCTTTTTATGTCTAAAAATCGGAAAAATTCGAAGGATCTAAAAACTTGATGAAACGCGGATGTTGTGAAAAGTTAGGTTTTTCGACTAAGGTGTTTAGTCGGAACGTTCAAACTATTTTTTCTTATTCAACATCAAAAACTGAATTAAAAAATGGTATTAAATCCATTTCGAAGGAATTCACAAAGGTTCGAAGGTTTCACAAAATTTTTCTTGCAACTAGATTCTATAAGATCTTGCAAGCCTTTGTGATAAGATCTTGTAGGATTGTGCTAAGTTTGTCATAAGAACTAGTTGTTTGTAACAACTTGTGGCTTGACGGAGTGATTTATCGCAGCACGATTTAGAGTGGTATAGAACAGTGTTTCTGAACTGGCATATATATATATCTATATACTCGCATGCCAAAGGAGAGGGGGGGGGGGGGAAGTAGTACGAGAGTGAGCTACGAGACAAAATTTTAATGCTGCTTCTCGCTGCTTTCCCCCACGGATATGTTTGCTCTGACAATATATTTCGATCCAACGTTTTGACAGGCTCGACACCTCTAGTAAACTGGAAAATGGAAGTTGTAAACTCCATCGTTCCACAGTTTACAAAAAAAAATATACATGCAACTGGATTTCGACATAACCTGACCTGACCTAACTTTCGTTGAGATCGAAATAGACAGACAGATATAGATGTGTATATATACTGTGAGAATAAGAATTACAATTTCCATACAACCAGACTGGACCTAACCTTGATTGATGTTGAAATATATACATGGATAGATGATGCATATGTATTTGGAAGAATAGGAACCTAATACTACACCAAGGGAGAGATAGTTACTACGAAAGCGCGGGGCGACTTTTTTTGCGTTTGCTGATAATCGGAACGGGGCATGCACTCTAAAAATATCATATTCGGAATCAGGATAAAACACTGAGTCTACTGATGTGTATTTCGAAATTTTTAGTTGGTTTTCGGTTTTGGGTGAAAATCTAAGTAATATTTCAGCGCGAAAATTCGAAAAAGATTAAAGTAGTCAGGTAGGATAGAAATACTTATCAGTAAACTCAGTGTTTTATCCTGATCCTGAGTATGATATATTTATTACTCAAAAGTTGAGTTCCGATGAAGAAAATTGAGAATTACGGGCAGAATTTTGACTTTTTCGCCTATTATTTAGAAAAAATGAATTTCATCGTTTCTCTCTCATTTTCATCAAATACTGCATTTTTTTCAATATCTTTATCTGCTACTGTTGTGCGTTTCCATTGTTGTTCACCTCGCCCAATCTTTACCACCATCTCTACTGTCGCTATACTGGTGAACTAGTAGCTTTTCTTTTGTTCAGTGATTTGCTTTATAATTAATACCTTATGTTCCAACGTTGTAAAGAAGTTTGCCATTTTCTTTATATGCTATAAAAAAACTCAAAGCTGTAAACAGATTAATACTCATTACTTAATTCGTCTTGCTATCGTCTGATAATATTTAATTATTAATCAATTTTAATTTTTCCTTAATGATTCGTTTTTTTTGCACTGTAATCAATTCATTACTCATAATCAGATAGACGTAGCTAATGCCTCGTAGCATTTTTCTTTATTTGTTTAAGAAAGAGTCTTTCTCCATATGCAAAATATGAGTGTCGAATCAACTTTGCGAAAGTATGAATCGTTATGTTACCAATTTTAAACTTTCTATCTGTTGCTATCAGTCTACACAGCGCAGAAACAGACTGTTTCTGAGGGATCAAAGTATATATAGAAATCGATCTCTAAAAAGCTTAGAGTTGCTCCGATTATCCAGATTATTCGAAATTAGCACCACTTATTATATATGTCTCCATATCTTTCATGCAAAAGCGATTTATCAGTTAGGAGACTTCCCTCATTAGTGTCATGATTATTCTATTTTGTGACGATACGAACGATCTGATTAAGGTTTTTGTTGGGTAGATGCAGCGTTTCTATGCCTTTTCTCTTTCTGTTACCGGTAGACAAACAATAAAACAAAATTTTTCTTTTTATTCTTATCTAAACAATGATACAAGTTATACTATTTTAACAAGTAAGCGTTTTCACTTTTTTACGCAATACCATATTGTCGTAAATCGTCACTTATAATTTACTAAAGAATGGAACATATAAATGCTGAACCAAAGCAATTTAGCTCTGAACTAGTTGAATATCGTCCACTCACATATAATGAACAATCGCTAGGACTGACACATTGGGAAACTATCTTTGGGTTTTCACGAGATTGTTTCGAACGATATTATTCATTAGCTGCTTCACCTGACTATCAAGTTGGAGATACGTTAGGTGCTTGGTATCAAAGATCATTGATTAGTACTGTTCATATTTGTCGTTTGAAATGTGAATGGAATGACGAAATATTTTTATGTGGCGGTATTGCACTTGTGGCAACATTAGCTGAATATCGTTGTCATGGTCTGTCACGACATTTATTAAATTTAGCCATTGAGAAAATGAAAAATGAAGGATTTCATTTCTCATTTTTGGGAACAGATCAACCAGGACATTACGCAGCACTTGATTGGGAAGAGAGCAATGTACCGTACTTGACTATTAAACTGAATGAAGATAATGCTGGAAGTATGGCAAAATGGTCACCATTCGACGTTTGCAAATTAATACCGATATATAAAACAAGGAAGCGTCCTCTGCAATTTCAACGTTCAAAATCATATTTTGAACATTGGGTAGGATGGGATTGGCGTCGGACATCTGCGATTGTAAATATAATTGACGACGGATATATAGTTTTGAGTGCCCCAGATGAAGAAGAAAAACGTTGGACAGTTATAGAATGGAAAGCACCGAATGAAGATACAGAAAATGTTTTGTTTAAATCAGCTGCATCTGAAGCACTCAAACGAGGTACAAAAAACTTGCGTATAGATACACTTCCCCAGTATTTAGACAAACAACATTTCCGTGAATTAGGTCACCTAACGGAAAAACAAAACAACAATATTATGTTGCGTAATATCAATTTACCCATGGAGAAATACAAAGAACTTTTACAATTATATGAATCCGGGAAAGCTGTATGGTGGAGAGGAGATTGGTTTTAAGTTTACTTTTTTACCAAGAGCATTTGAATATTATAGAAAATTGAGCAAAACCATATAGGACTTGAAACTACGAATGCTATACTCCTTTCTCTAGAACATAAAATGGATATATAAATCCACGATAAAAAACGTTCTCCGTTTCTCGGCTATAGACTAGAAATGTACTTCTGCATATGACTTTTTTATATACTCTGTCTATAGCCGATACTTATCTACTTAACCGCGTAAAGGTGGCATGATAGCTAAGTAGTACTGTTTTTTTTTAATGAAGTTTTGTTTTCTGTTTGTCATCTCTCGTCATTACTTAATAATATGTACAAACATTCATCAACTCTAGATGAACAAGTAAACAACAAGAGCAAATCGAAATAAAGTGATATTTCTAATTTTATGAACAAGCACTGATGACTGACAAGCATCGAACCACCAATCACTTTGGAACTGGCGCAATTGCTCGATCACGTCAATTTCCTCATCCTCGTATTGAAAAGCGAATGCGAATTCCTTGAGGTGTCGACACGATTGAAGTAATGCCTCTAGACCTCGTCCATCGATTATTAGATCAAACGAACGGATATTGAGCGTCAATTGTTGGAGAGAAGATTGAGACCAATCGATCAACGTTTTGATAGAACCGAGGTATATGCCATCATTGTCGTATGTGTCATCGACGGTATCACAAGTGATGTGCAGTTCAACTAGACACATCAGGAGGTGAGAGCTGCGACAACACTGTCATAAAAGTCGTCACTACCTAAGTTCAGCTGCCTGACGATGAGATTACTTAAATTGGGGGGCGAGAGCACAGAGACAGAGCAAATTCAATTCAGTACATTGAACAGGGTGAAGTGTGAAAGACGATGCCCGCCTAAAAACTATTTACGTTTGTAAGATAAGTAGATAGTAATGGTTGTTGCACGCACCTGACCGTCGCCAACTACACGTACATGACTAGTACTACAACTTGACAACAGATTTGTACTGTCAATAACCCAGATGCCACATATTCGAAGTAGATGCATACATGAAACAATGGCAGCCAAGGCAGAATAATGTTCCACGTTTAATTCGACAATGCAGCAAAAGCAAGAGGGAAAGCACGGAATCCTGAAATTCTATGGAATCTAGCAGAATCCGGTGGAACTTGGTGGACTCCGATGGAATCCGGGATTCTACACCTCTCCCGAAACAGAACAAAATGCTCTATATTTTGGGGAACGTTTCCCAAAAAAAACAGAACAAAAATGTTCTGTCTTGTGGGAAAGTTTCAGAGAATGTATTTGACATGTATTTTGACAAACCAGGCATGTATTTGACGAATCAGTTCAATGGTGTATCATAGAAATGGCTGAAATGACGAACGGATTCGAGAACGATCGATTTGAAACGCTGATTTAAACTATAGATGGCTTGAACAACAGCCCAGATAGGAAATGATAAGAAAAAACAGTTAATTTGGCAGCGTTTCAATGCAACTGTTGAACAGTGACATAAGACGAAAGACTCATTGTATACCCCATGTAAGAATAAAACATCTACTATCCATTTCAAAATAGAATGCCGCACTAGGTAGGAGAAATCGAATAGTTCCGCAACGCAAGAAGCTATAGAGATGCGGTTTTCTGCATTCAAGAGCCACATGTGGCGCCTGTATGAATATATTGTCGAAACATTTTTTTCGATCTTTAGGGGGTGCTAAGGGAGATTCTGAAAAATCTCGATTTTTGAAGGCAACGGACTATTGGTTTTTTAAATTTGAGACGTGTAATCAATTTTAGCTGTTTCTTGTGAAAGAGAATTAACTGACGGGTATGGTATCAGGGGTTCCTATATGCTTGAAATAAATGCCGAACTAATCTCTTTATATTTATTCAGAAGTAGAATAATACTAAACAATAAAGTGAATAAAACACAATAATCTAAACGATACGAAGAAATGACG